TGGAACGATGTAATTGTTGAAGAATATGGAATAGGGAATGTTGAGGAGGACGTCATTCTCACTCAACAAACTGTTCAACATCCAGGGGAATTCAGTTGTCTATTGGCAGAGTGTACGTACACAAGTTATCGTGTACCTGGCGGAGATAACTTTTCTCATTTGGGTGACAGTACACCAACTGTGACTCCAACACGTACGTGTCAACATGGTTTGTGCAATGTACGTACACTAGAGACTGTGTACAAGATACATGCTGCGAAAGTGATTTTGTTACGTACACGAATACCAATATTAATGGCATAGACAAAGTCACTGGGGATGATGTTCTCGACTGTGGTATTAGAGCTTCAGCAAGTGGGTCACTGAATGATCATCGGCTAGTTACCGCAGCTGAGACTTACGAATATATGCTACTTGTACGTACAGTTATACGCCATTATTAAAATATATTGTCTGTGTACGTTTTACTAGTTTAATCAGCTATGTACGTATTTAGTGTACGTACACCAGAGACAAAGTCTTTCATACTTGTTGGAATATACTAAGTGGTCGTATGTTTTACTAGTTTAATCGGCTATGTACGTAATATTAGTCTTACGCTATGTACATATTTAGTGTACGTACACCAGAGACAAAGTCTTTCATACTTGTTGAAATATACTAAGTGGTCGTACGTCTTACTAGTTTAATCCGCTATGTACAAAACCAGTGTACGTACACAAAACCATACGTATTTCATACATGTTGTCTGCAAACAACAAAAAGTTCATTCATTCATAATATAACTGCCCGAAAAAAAGGAATACAATGCATAAAGACAAACAGAGTATAGTAGATTACGAAGAAATAAACTAAAGAGTAGAGCCAAAGCATACACATGAGGCGGAAAATATTATCCTTCATCCATGATAGCAATGTCAAATCTAATAGAAGATACACATCTCCCTCACGTACCAATAGAAGAAACACCCTCTGCAGCATTGACCGTACGTGCAGTTGCCAACAGCAAGCCGGAGTGTGGACTTGTACTATAACAATCTGCAGTCGGAGCCACACTTGTACTGCCTGCAAGTACTGTCATAAACAATTAAGTAAGGAAAACATGTAAACAATCTGAATTCGCGTACGTACACAGGAATTATCAACATAATATCCTCAAATATGAATTTTGGCGGAAATAACAGTTCTAATTGAACTTCTCAAATTTTCAAACTACTGATTTTGCAAATTCCGGCAAGTTATTACCCTTTAATTACACAAGCTTTAAGAATCCGATACACCCAAAGAAACTACAAACGAAATAATATCAGAACTTACCCAATTTCTCCGGCGGGTTTGTCGGAGATAGTTTATTCCTCGGGAAAACTCTGACTTCCCGATTCTCCTTATGGGGGCCTTGCCGCGTATAATGCTTCGTCGGGACATCGGCGTTGGGTTTATTCCCAAACATCTCGATGGTTGCTATCTCGCCGGAATTTCTGAGTTCCTCTTCGCCGGATAAACTATAAGTTTCTCTTCGCCGGTTTTTAGAGTTCAATGCGATACCTCAAATCAAGTTGCGAACAATTCAAACGGTGATGTCGTGTACGTTTTAGAACCGTTAATATACATATATATATATATATATATGTATATATGTAAATAATCTCAAATTAATTTTCTAAATATCTAAATTTAAGTATTAATATCTAAAACTATTCAAATAAAAATACATAGTAAGATATCTGATATGTATATACAAACACCAAAAAAAGTATACACGACACTTGTTTCTAAAATCCTATTAAGACAATCAACATTCTCAAATGTCTTTTAGCAACATGAAAAGATAGAGAATGAAATGAATATATATATATATATATATATATATATATATAGAGAAAAAGAAATGTTTTTATCTATTAAAAAAAATATTTGTTTCTCCCGTTAAAATACCATCAATATTGGTTTGTTATACCAAATAATACGGTTAGTGCCAGTGGCGGATTTAGAAACAAAATTTATATGGGACACATTATAATTAATAATTTCAAACTTATTTAATAATAAAATATTAAATGAATCTAATTTCTACCCTTAATATATATCAATTTAAAATCTGAAAAGACGCTAATTTTAATGAAAATACATCTAAATATACTCAGATACATATGTTAGATATATTTAAAATACATATTTTTAATTTATTAATTAGAAAAGGCATTAAATAAACTAGGTAACAATATCACCCAAATTTAAACTCTAAAACAATAAATAAACTAGGTAGATAATATTTTTAACTAATTTACTAATTTTATTAACATTTTAAGATTAAAATATAGGTATTAATACTTTAGGGTAAAATTAAAATTAGTTACTTTTCAGTTATATAACTGAAAGAACATTGTTTTATACAAGAAAAAAACATGTAGGAATTGGAAGGCACCAAAAGAGGACGTGGACAAATAAAAGAAAGTGTACACAAAAAAAGAATTAAAGCAAAAAGAAAGTTCATAGAGAGGCATCGAACTGGGCGCTCAAGACATAACATGGGGCACTTAATGCCAAATGAGCCAAGAAATCTCAACATGTAATTGTCAATATAAAATTGTTTAACAATCAGTCTGAGACACGTGCACTGTTTCTTCTTCGTTTCTTCTTGCAGCCCTCCGCCGCATAGCCTTTCGTTCTGATAAACACTGTTTATTTTCTAATTCAAACTCCAGTTCTCATATTATCACAGAGTTTACTCAGAATTAAACTACCTACTAAAAAGATTTAGTCAAGTGTTTTGGCCATATCTTTGGACGCTTCCAAAACATTTAAATACGCTTCCAAATCAGAAACGTTCGCTTCCTCTACGCTTCCAAATTCTGCTTTTTAAGAACGCGATTCCGAACGATTCCGGACACTTCCGGTTCTGGTTCCGCTTCTGAAGTGAGAATCGATGCTTGAGTGACGCTTCTGTGTAACGTAATCTTCGATTTCTTCTTGGTTTCTTCGTAATTGTTTTTTTTTTTAATTCAACACCAAACCGTAAAACAAATAAAAAGTAACTAAACCGAAATCAACAGTACCGTTTGGTTTAACTCATTAGGGGTATTTTCGTCATAAAAAACCTTAACTGTCAATCCATGAGAATCAAATCTCAGTTTGTCAAAAGCTGAAAGAAAATCTTTTTTTCATCATAAACGTGAAAATTTCTTTAAATAATATAGAGCTCTCTCAACTTCTCACCAACACAAACTCAAAACTTCATATAAAATCTCTTACAAAGTTGTTTTCTTTCTTTTTTTTTGCTGCTTAATTCTCTCGTATGCAAACCAAACATGGTCTTCTTTACTTCTTTGATAATTCTTGTAGTACTTTGTGGAGTTTCCATTGGAGGAACCGTTCACAAAGTCGGTGACTCCGACGGATGGACGATAATGAGCGTCAATAATTACGACGAATGGTCATCTTCAAAAACTTTTCAAGTCGAAGACTCTTTGGTCTTCAAATACAACAAAGATTTCCACGACGTCACTGAAGTCACTCACAATGATTTCAAGTTGTGTGAACCATCTAAACCGCTAACGAGATACGAGACCGGGTCTGACACCATCATTCTAACCAAACCGGGACTCCAACACTTCATATGCGGATTTCCTGGTCACTGCGACATGGGCCAAAAGCTTCAAATCCATGTATTACCAGCCTCGTTGGGACCTGTCGCTGCTCCGGTTCCTAGACCTGTCCGATCACCAAGCTCTTTTTCGTCTCCTTCACCGTCTCCGTTGGCTCCACAGTATCAGATGGGACCATCACCAGCTCCACTTAGCGCAGCTTCAAACTCTAATGTTTGGATTGGACTCTGCTTCATTCCTTTACTTTTACTTTTCATCTTAGTTTGTTATATTTACACACGTTTTGTCTTATTGTTTTTCACTTTTTTGGTTCAAAGTCTCTACTAATTTCTAAGAATATAAACCAATAATATAGTGAATTACATATCTCTCTCTTATTCGAATCATAATCAACCCACATAACTTTAGTTTGTTAACAACGTTGTTGACTCAATCTCATTGACAACACGTAAATTGATTTTAATTCCAAATTAGAAGATATCTTTTTCTTTTTTTTTTCTCACTAGATATATTTGAACATATAATAATTAAGAAGATAATAAAATTTGAATATTTGATGCATGTAAAATATCTAAATGATTAATTGTTTGATTTTCGTAATTTTTTTGTAGAGCTAGGGACACACTTCTTCAATGAATCTTTTGGAGCTGAAACGATTGATATTTTAGAACAGTGTTAGTAACACTGTGTTACCATATAAAGAAAAGAAATATATTTACCAACTAGGATTGGACCCGCGGTCCACCGCGGGAGAATATTGATTTACATACGTTGATTTTAATATTGTGCGTGTTTTTAGTAGAACGAATCGTGTAGTGTACTTATAAATATTCCTAATAACAAATTGTAAAGAAAATATTAAATTGTTTATAATTAAACCAATCATATTAATTATGATTTACAAAATGGAATTTTATGTTTTAGAATTCAAAAATTAGACGAATCATGGGAATTAAAGTAGTCAAAATAGGTCAAAAACCGCGGGTCGAGCCCAAATCATCTCACTATTGAGCAGATTTGGGAAAATATATTAAACCCGCAAATAAGCGGGCCACATGGATTGATTCGCAGTGGGTCATCGGTTTTCATCCGCGAGTTAGCGGATCAACCCGCATGATAGTATTTATTGATAAAAATATAATTTATTCAACATGTGGTAGTTTAAAAAACTTTTAATAAATGAAATTATAATATTTATAAATATAATGATATATAAGATTATAATCTCTAAATTTTTTCTAATTTATTTATTTTAGTAGAATTTTAAATTTTGTTTACTCTAAAATTATTTAAACAAATCCACGGATAACCCCGCAAATCAGCATACATTCACGCGACGGGTTTGTGTTTCATATATGCTACCCGCGGGTCGTGCGGACAGACTAACTACATGCCAAAATATATTTTGTCTATTGCAAAACATGCTTAACGGGATGAATCAACTCATTTTGACAGCTAATGGAAATATTATTTAGTCATACAACACAATAGAGTTTGGACATATGAATAATAGAATATGTATCTTATTTGTTAGATGAGAGATTGAAAGATGAAATATAATGATTAAAAAATAATTAATATTTTTCATGATTCACAAAATTTAATAAATATTTATCATCTTGTTGAATAATTCTAAAAATCATATTCAAGAAATCTTTATAATTTGAAAATTAAACTTCTTTGGTAAGCTATATGTATGAAAATACAATAATTTCGATTTAATCTAATTAAATTAAAATTAGTTACATAGATTTCATATCTATTTAATTTACATGACCAAACTAAAAAAATATATATTTAATTTATAAAATAGATGAGTTAGTTGTGATAAATTTTCTAGAAATCTCTAGAAGCAAGTAAGATATCTTTTAATTAATGATAACTGGCTAAAATAAGCAAAATTAATGAGAAAATGTTGATTATTATGGAATTAGTTCTAAATGTATATGAACAAATATATTATACGTAATTAATGTATAATATTGTTCGGAATATGATTTTATAATTAGTTACCATAAGTACAATCAAATTTTATTTTATTTCCATAAACATTTGATTTTAGTTCGATTTTTCATTATTAGTTCGAATTTATATTCCAAAAAATTTTCAAAGATCCGATTTCAGAATTTCGGGTCAATTTTCTGATTTTGACCCGACCCATTTACATTTGTACTTCTCTTTTAATAGTATAGAGATGAATATATAAAAATCTGAAATTAGTCTAACCGAAGACAAAATCTACAAGGCACATGAAAATATTTAGGCGAAGAAAACAAACATGTTTAAGAGGATCTCCTCCGTTGCCTTGCGCTCTAAGGAAGCAAAGCACACACAAGAAACCTATACACTCTCTGCTATACTACTTTGTGTATGAAACATAAACTTTATTATACAACAAAAAAAACATAAAATCCTATCTACACAAAAATCTTATCATTCATTACACCTTTTTGGTAGCTGCAGCTATATATGGTGTTTGATTCTCTATAAACCAAAATGACTTGGTTCTTCGTTGACTTGTAAAAGTTTCATCTTGCGATCGAACTGGAGAACAAAGGGAAAAGAATCAGGTTGTGTTTTCTTGTAAAAGTTATACCCAAAAGCTTATAAGAGACCACTTGAATATCAAAAGAAAACGATTTGATTTCATCTAAGGAAATTATCTCAAGCTTAGTCTAAGCTTACCATTTCATCAATTGATTCCATCGGTTTCATTGTCTTTAAGTTCTACAGCCAATGGATTGATGGACTGTCTATGGTCTTCAGCAGAATTAGACTCATCATTGAATGTTACTTCAAAGCCCTGATAGTTTTATGTTCAATGTTAAGCACAAGAATAACTATACACTTTTAGTTAAGTAGATACAGAGCATTGTAAGTTTGAAAACAGATAACTACTCACCTCTTGATTCTCCTGAAATGTTCCTGTGGCATCCGAACAAACCGTTTCTATTGTAGTTTCCTCAGTTGTCTCAATACGTTCCTGCAAAAGAAAAAATCCACGAGTCAAACAAAGTACATGTATGTGCTTAGAAACTGTGTTCTGCTTTAGGAAATTTGGAAATTACATCTAATTGATAATGAGATGATTCAGCAGGTGGAACCACATTTTGCAGCTGACCATCTGATGTATGATCCAGAACCTCAGAATGAGTCTGGTCTAGATGTAACATCATGTCTGGTAACACTGATCTTGGAGAAGTAACAGACTCTTCAGAGTTTCCATGATGATTTACATCAGAAGCTTCAGCTTCCGCGAGTTGTTGCATTTCTTCTCCATCATTTCTCTCATAAGGTTCTTCAAATTCTTGATCAGTCCTCTCGGATGGTTCATGTTCGTCGACAGAGTCATAACTTATCTTTATCTCATCAGCTGAGTTCTCAGGAAGTTCCTTCAACTCCTGACAAAAAGTTGCAAAGATTATGTTCAATGTCTTAACATTTATACCATTTTCATGAGACCAGAACAAAAAACATGAACTAACCTCATCAGATTGAGGAACCTTGGACTCCAATTTTCTTGCTTCTTCATTTAGATCTTGATAATCTTTCCCCACAAGTAAGACTTCAGATTCCCCACCATTAAAACCCATTTCTTTTCCGATCTCCGATTCATAAACAAACAGAGATCTCTCATAATCAGAGTCATTCCCATCAACTGAAGTGGGAGGTGATCCAAGTTCAGAAACCTCAACTTGAAGATCAGAGTCAACAGAATGTGTAACCATATGAGACATTCTTGTACTGTAACCAAAATGCTCCATGTATCTTTGCCTTTCAGTTGCTAGTGAACTCGAACCACTTCCTCTAGGCACTAAACCCGCAACAGAGTTTCCAAGACGATCATTTCGTTTGCAGAAAGTTCCGGAAGCATCTGATTGGTACGAGGCATTGAAATCTTTGTCTCTTTCTCGTGGAGAAAGCGATGCGTTCGAGTCACTATCATCGTTTCTGATGGAATCCGTCTCTATCCGTACCTCCCCTGCCTCCATATCATTTCCTTTTCCTCTTTCTTTCATTAGAGGTGCTTGATCATTGCTACCTAAATCAACAAGAAAAGTCACCAAAAATTATAGAAACCCTAATCATGATCTTGATTAGGTCACTAACAAAACTGTAAAATGTCATACCTTGTAGTGGCTTAGGCCTACCATCAACTGTATTTCTCCACAAAGACGTCAATTTAGAATCTTTTTGAGATTCTGATGGAAAAATCCTGTGATGGAAGCTCTCATGGCGGCAAAAGAAGATATCTTTCGGGTTATTCTCAGCAAACTCTTGCTGAAAACTATCTCCTGTCAAGTTCGGTTTCTCTTCCAGAGGATCGTAAGGAAGGTCAAATGGGTTTCTTCTTGGTAATAAAACAGAAGGTGCAGAGCTTGGCATGAGAAGTCCATCGATTTCGTAGTTTCCTTTATCGAAATCATAAAAGTTTCGACCAATACAAATCCGAGGAACTTCCATATCCATCAAGCTTCCTTCAGCAGCAAGTAAGAAAAATCTCCTTGATCTTCTTCTAGAAATCAAATTCTCTAACCTCTTGTTCCTTTCAATCTCAGATATCCCAAGATCCATCAAATTCTTCTGATCATCCTCTGTCCACGGTACTACGATCTTGCCTATATCTTCGCGCCTTTCTTCTTCTTCCCTTTCTTCTTCTTCTGATGATAATGATGAACATTCAATTTCACTTTCATCACCATCAACACTTATTAACCTCTCCAATGAATCTAACTCAACAACAGAGTTAAAGGAGGTTTCTTCCGCAACAAGCAACGTCCTCTCCCTCTTAAATTTCTCCATATCTGAACTAATCGTCTCCGGTAATACTTCCCCATAGAGAGTAGTCAAAATAACCTTACCTCTCTCATCCTCACTAGCTTGAGAAGAATCCCAATCTTTCCCAACCTCTTCAACTTTTCTTCTGGCATTTCGTCGAACACTTTGTTGGTGCTTTAACTTAGCCTTCTCTGTTCTTCCCTCTTGAGAAACCGAAGATAACCCACGATCCGTTCTCTTGTCCTCATCACCGATCTTCGTACTCAGATGATGATTCCGTATATAAAACGAACCAAAAGCTATCAACGGAGAAGAACAGAGCAAGAAATAGAAAACCCAAGGAAGAAAAGTATACAAGACGATCAAAAACATAGAAACACCAGAAACAATTGGGTATCTTCTAACGTATCTGAAAATTGTATTCGTTGAGAATCTAAGAATTTTCCAAACCATAAAGCAAACATCTTTAGCATCAATTTTTCCCATTTTCTTCTTCTAGTGAATCAAACAAACCTGAAAACAGATAATCATTATAAGACTTCGAAAACACGAAATGATCAGAACTATTGAAGGAAAAATTCAATATTGATGAATAAGAGAGGTCAAGTTTACCTTTGAAACGATAACCAGTCAAAATCTATTATTGAAGGGGTTTTATTAATTGCAGATTTAGAAAATTTGCTCTGTTTTCTTAAATACATGTCGGTGTGGTAGAGATGGGATGGTTTATGTACGGATCGGAATTGGATCGTGCGGGGAAGACAAAATAAAAAAAAAACGAGCGAGTTAGTTGCTTACATGTTGTATAATTACACATTTACACTTTCGAATTTTCTTGATCATGATATTTATTTTAAATTGCAGAATCATCCCTTTAGTTTCTCAGTTTTTGCATTTGTTTGTTTCTCAGATTTTTTAATTTTGGGCCTTTCACATGTAAGCCCAACAATAAGACCATGACAATTTCTATACGAAACATTAATGCGTTGATATAAATTCTTTGGATATAGATTACGATATACAATTAGTGTATTTAAATATATCCAAATATAAATGCGTCAATGGTTGTTGTTACTTGTAAGATTATCTTTCTATTTAAGAGGAAAATTTCTCTTCGTAGATAATTTTTTAAAATCATTTTCCGATTTTTCTTATTTTTCTAGATATGATTTGATTGAACAATTAATTCGTGGTTCTTTGAATGAGAATATCGACTGTATTTGATTTCAGTAAAATGATAATAATTGTCATTTACGTCCCCAATAGAATTGAAATATCATATCTCAATACATGGTCTTAACAAAATATTCTTATGATCAAAATATGTGGACAAAACAAAATATCAATGTAGCTTTCAGGATGATTGAACAACAGATATTGAGAAATCAATTTTTCGGGACTATTCGGGTCTCTATTTTAGTTATGATCAAAATGATATAATAATAGAAAATATTAAATATACAATTATATTAAAGGGTCTCTATTTTAGTTTTGTATTTGGCCCCCATTTTCTCAGGACCGCCCTGAGTGCAGCTCACATTTTTTGTAAAAAAAAATTATTATTTCTTAAATATTGTTCTAATAAGCTGATGATAATATAATCAGAAGCTTCATATTTCAAGTCATATACTGTCATTTTTTTTTCCTGTAAGAAAACAAAACCAGAATATTACAATAATTAACTAGAAAACCGAAGGATGTATAATTTCAATGAAAGGTAATTAACTTTTTATTGGTTTACTCGTGAAACGACGTTCTCCTCCTCACGTACCTTATCTTAGAATCCTGATCAACGGACGTCAAAATATCTGAGAAAGTGGACACGTCAGCAAAGCCTTTCGCTTTTGGCTGCATTGGGCCGTGACGATTCAGGAGGTTCGTTCCTTTTTTAAAGGACCGTAAAACCATTTCTCTTTCTTCTATCACACTCTCTGATTGACTCACTGTGCGCGATTCAGTTCATTTCTCGACCAGATCAGATTCACAGCTTCCTCTTCCAGGTTTGATTCCTTCTTCTCCACGATTCCTCTGTTGATTTCACGAATGTCCATGGAAGTCCAACAGTTTTTTGATCGGATTTTCTCCGCCAAAATTTGTTCTTGAGATTATGTGCATGGAATTTGGTTTTTTTTCCTTAGATTGTGCGTTTAGATGCAATAATCGGCTCTTTGTTGTTCGTCAATTTCGATGTTTTTGTTAATCCATGGATCGTATCGGAAACAGTGATTGATTCATATCGTCGTTTGTCTCCAGCTATGGCTGCTTCAGTACACAGTACCTTGATGTCAGTCGTATGCAACAACAAATCTCACTCTGCTTGGCCTAAACTTCCAAACTCGTCTTTGTTACCTGGATTCGATCTTGTTGTTCAAGCTGCTGTTGCTACTCGATTCAAGAAGGAAACAACAACCACACGAGCCACTTTGACCTTTGATCCACCAACCACTAATTCTGAGAGAGCTAAGCAGAGAAAACACACCATTGATCCTTCTTCTCCTGATTTTCAACCAATCCCTTCTTTTGAAGAATGTTTTCCTAAGAGCACTAAAGAACACAAGTAATTGCTTTACTTAAATTCACATTTTTCCATATTTGGAAGAGTTGAGAAATCACTGGTTTGGTTTTTTTCAGGGAAGTTGTTCATGAAGAATCTGGTCATGTTCTTAAAGTTCCTTTTCGTCGTGTTCATTTGTCTGGTGGTGAGCCAGCTTTTGATAATTATGACACTAGTGGTCCTCAGAATGTTAATGCACACATTGGTATGTCATTCCACCTTGTGTTTACTTTACACATTCACCTATCTCTCTTGATTTATATGTGACTATCGATAACAAATGAAACTTTTCCAAACAGGGCTTGCTAAGCTAAGAAAGGAGTGGATTGATCGCCGAGAGAAGCTAGGAACTCCAAGATACACTCAAATGTACTACGCTAAGCAAGGGATCATAACTGAGGAAATGCTCTACTGTGCTACTAGGGAGAAGCTAGACCCTGAGTTTGTAAGATCAGAAGTTGCACGAGGGCGGGCGATTATCCCTTCTAACAAGAAGCATTTGGAGCTGGAACCCATGATTGTTGGTAGAAAGTTCTTGGTTAAGGTCAATGCGAATATCGGAAACTCTGCTGTTGCAAGCTCTATTGAAGAGGAAGTCTACAAGGTTCAGTGGGCAACCATGTGGGGAGCTGATACAATCATGGATCTCTCAACAGGTCGTCACATCCACGAGACACGTGAGTGGATCCTAAGGAATTCAGCTGTGCCTGTTGGTACGGTGCCTATTTATCAAGCACTTGAGAAAGTGGATGGAATTGCTGAGAATCTTAGCTGGGAAGTCTTCAGGGAGACTCTGATTGAACAAGCTGATCAAGGTGTAGACTATTTCACAATCCATGCTGGAGTTTTGCTGCGTTACATTCCCTTAACAGCCAAGCGTATGACCGGGATCGTTTCACGTGGAGGATCCATTCATGCTAAATGGTGCCTAGCTTACCACAAGGAGAACTTTGCTTACGAGCACTGGGATGATATTCTAGACATCTGTAACCAGTATGATGTGGCTCTTTCCATTGGAGATGGTCTGAGACCTGGCTCGATTTATGATGCTAACGACACTGCTCAGTTTGCGGAGCTCCTTACTCAAGGTGAACTAACTCGCCGAGCATGGGAGAAAGATGTGCAGGTATATACTACAACTACTTATCTAATTCACTTATATTCATCCAGTTTGTATTTGCATACATATTCTCAATACTGGTTGATTTTCTTGCAGGTGATGAATGAAGGACCAGGGCATGTTCCAATGCACAAGATTCCAGAGAATATGCAGAAGCAGTTGGAATGGTGTAACGAGGCACCATTCTACACTCTTGGGCCTTTGACTACTGATATTGCCCCTGGATATGATCACATTACCTCTGCCATTGGAGCTGCCAATATTGGAGCTTTAGGCACAGCTCTTCTTTGCTATGTAACACCGAAAGAACACCTCGGGCTACCAAACAGGGACGATGTGAAGGCCGGGGTTATAGCATACAAGATCGCCGCTCATGCAGCTGATCTAGCCAAACAGCATCCACATGCCCAAGCATGGGACGATGCGCTGAGCAAAGCGCGGTTTGAGTTTAGATGGATGGACCAGTTTGCTCTGTCTTTGGACCCTATGACTGCTATGTCTTTCCATGATGAAACTCTTCCAGCTGATGGAGCCAAGGTTGCACACTTTTGCTCCATGTGTGGACCAAAATTCTGCTCTATGAAGATAACAGAAGACATCCGAAAGTATGCAGAGGAGAATGGTTATGGCAGTGCTGAAGAAGCCATCAGACAAGGAATGGATGCTATGAGTGAAGAGTTCAACATTGCCAAGAAAACCATTAGCGGAGAACAGCACGGTGAAGTAGGCGGAGAAATCTATTTGCCAGAGAGCTATGTCAAGGCTGCTCAGAAATAAAAGGTCAGTATGCTTAGACTGTTAGACGTTGCTTGCTCAACAAACATGTTAGTTACAGCTTGCTAGTATAAAAACATTCAAGTTATAATCTTTTCTTAAATCTGCAACATATGGTCAAATCTTAAATGAGTCCTTACTGTGATCTTTTGTTTTTTTATCGTGTTTCCTTTTCTTTTGCTACCTCAGGGAAAGGGTTTAAACAAGACCTCGCTTACCCAAGTCTTGGTGCCTGTTGGACTATACCTAGATAAAGGCACAAACTGTCGGTAAGGTAAGCGTAGTAGTCTCTATGTCATGTTAAGTTTAGAACTATCTATGTTTCTGTCTGTTCCTTTGAGTCAGAGTCAGCAATAAAGACAATCTAAGTTGATGTTTCAATACTTTATGTGATTTGGTTGGTGAATTGACATGCAAAAGCACCAGGGGTGCTTGAACCAGGCTAGCCCGCGAAAAGGCGGGCTATCCGGGACCAGGCTGAGAAAGTCCCTTTGAACCTGAACAGGGTAATGCCTGCGCAGGGAGTGTGCAGTTTTTTTTTTCCTTTTCTGTAGCTTTCTAAAGGAGAAGAAGCTATTGTTGCCGCTCTCTCGAGTCTCGGTCCACAGTTTCAGACAGTTTGTTTCTTATGAGCTAAGAGATTCAGCTTAATTTACTTACAGCCATAAAAGTAGTCTTAAACTGATGCACTAGGTCACTAACAGTAATGAATAATTCTATCAAAATTTCATTCAGATTGATAAAAAAACTTTTGCACCTTTGGGACATATAGCTAAAATCAATCTGCTCTGTTAATTTGTTTGACAGCTCCACAATACAAATCAGATTTTTAAAACTTGTGATCGTCTTGTCTATTAGTACTCTGTTTTTTTTTTTTTTTACTATTTCCCTTTAGGGCTGTCCACATAAATAGCCATGAAAAAAACAAAATTTGGGATGACCAGTTGGTCACTTTGATCAAAACATACTGGGCAAAGAAATGCACCTTTGTCATTTTATTACATACCGCAGAGGCGCAGAATAGTGGAATGGCATCGACCAGACCAAGCAGATATAGGGTAAGTGAAGCTCAATCAGCTACACTCATGAAAATGATTCATTGTGGTTCTCATTGTCCAGCTTTATAAACAAAAATGCGCGAGTCAACACATAAAAGATTATGTGTTATATTGCAGTAGAACATAAGTAAAACGACCTTACCAAATGTGAAAGAAAGTTTTTGGAGCCGGAAGGATCAAAAGGTTACACATTATGTACTCATTTTCCTGCTATATGAGATCACACAATTGTCAAGAACCTTAAACTCTGAAATACCAATACTTAGACACGTTACATTGTGTCTTAAAGAGTTTGAAAGTTTCTCATTTGACCAGCTCCTGTATTTGACATCAAATTGTTTCATATGGTTAATGTTCCTGCTAAAATGAACCATGAGAGGTGTGAACTATTTCCATATCATGTGTCTGTAGGGCCGGCCCTGTAAAATATGGGGCCCAATACAAAACAAAATTATTTTGGATGTGTTTTGTAGAATAAATTAAAATTTGAGATCAAATCTTAAAATTTTAGAAATTGCAATAACAAATAGATAAATTTATAAGTTGAGACTAAATCTGAAAATTTCTTAAAAATGAGGCCTCTTATTTGCAATAACAAGTATATTTGAGGCCTAATTTTGATACTAAAAATTTTAAAAAATCTGGAGGCCCAATACTCATGTTTCTTAAAAATGGATCGTGGCTGTAATGTTGGTGGCTTGTGAGTTGTGACTTGTGAGCTTCTTCTTGCACCTCATGTAAAGGCAGTGAGAGAGAGAGACGGCACACTGTTTCCTTTGGAAATCCTGGACGTTGTGATGTTTTATCGTAGGCTTTGTGAATGATAAATAAAAACAGCATGTATGTTATGTTCAAAATTTCAAAACGGCACGTAGTTTAATACTCATCCAACACCGTCGTCTTCTTCATCTGAAAATTAAGAAAAAAAATCTCGCCGTGTCGGTTGCTCGAATAATCGAATCCAAGCCCTTGCTTATTTTCTCTCAATCTAAACCCTAATTTTCTTCACCGTAATTCTCCCGAACATGGCTAAGATCTATCACGAACGACAACGATTACAATTTTGCCTCTTGCACTCCCTCAACAATCTATTTCAGGTGATTGATTCAATTTCTGTTTCAATTCCAAAATTTCACCGATTAAGATTTTTGATATTGCTCTCGTTTGATTTAGGAAAAAGACGCATTCACTAAAGAAAGCTTGAACTCAATCGCAGAGAAGCTCGTGGACGATGATCCAAACAAAGAAACATGGACACCTCTCTCATTCCTCCTCAAGCCTCACCACAATACACTCACTGGTAACTACGACGTAAACGTGATGATTAAAGCTCTTGAAGGAAAAGGCAAGAGTGTTGTTTGGCATGATAAGCGTTGTGGAGCTTCTTTGATTGATCTTGATGATGCAGATACTTTAATGGGTATTGTGTTGAATGTTCCTGTTAAGAGATATGGTGGACTTTGGAGAAGTAGGCATTGGGTTGTGGTTAGAAAAATCAATGGTGTTTGGTATAATTTGGATAGTGATCTCGTTGTGCCGCAGCTGTTTAGAGATGGTGATGAAGTTAGAGGGTTCTTGGATCAAAATCTGAGTTTAGGTGGAGAGGTTTTGCTTGTGAATAATGCTTAAAGGTCAACAATGTGAGTTTCAATTTTCTGACTTCTCTCTGTATGTTATTGAATACTCATCAAGTGTGAAAATGTATCTAGTACATGTCTTGTAGTTTAATTTCCAACATTGTTGATCACGTTAGAGAAAAGTTCAGTGAATTTGCTCCACTTATGAGTTTTGGAACTAATGATCTTCATGTCTCAAAATACAAAATCTTTTCTTTGGTGTCTATGAGTTAGACTGGTATGCTAAATGTTTTCACTTTCCACTCTAATTAGACTTGATGAAGTAGTTTTTGTATTCCTTATCGCGCTTTTGCAATTTTGAAACCTACCATCTATGTCTATCATCTTCCATTAGCATTTACAACCAGCTAACTAATCATTCATTGATTATTGCTCTGATCTCAATGATGTTCTCACATGTAAGAAATCATTCTCCAGAGGTTGATGTTTTATGTATGTCATGAAATTGTATGGTTATTATCTGCTTGCTGATATTCTTGTGCCCACCATTGACTTCGTTTTTATTTCTTCGCTTTATTTTTGGTAGCCTGAAGTCTCAAGTAAGGTATCTGCAATTTATAAAGGTTAGTTTATCTCGGCCTCTCCACCAGTCAAAAGAATTTGTGCACAATTCGTTTGTGCACACACCTGAGTGGTCATCAAATAGGAACAATACCGAAAGGTTGCTTCAAAGAAAGAACCTTTTTCGCTTAAACAAATGGTTTTAATACCTCCGTGGACCATCTTCTACTTACTTTCCCTAATGGAAATGTAGAAAAACTAAACAAATTGTCTTTTTCTTTTTCTCTTTGGCTAGCATTACTTTCCAAATTTCGGCGTTAGAGTTTTGGAATCTTTAAATCTGTTAGCTGTTAGAAATCTTTGATATAAAGTATCTAAAGTAAGTATGAAATTGAACCTACCTACTATTCTTCTATTTGTATATTTTTGGAATGCCTACAGTACTCATGGCTTTAAGTGTTAACATGTCATTATTGATACATTATTAATAATCATGACTTCTCTGGTCTCTACCTGAACTCTTATAGGCAACTGTTTCAGCAACAATCCCTTTATATACTCTCCTTAAGTTTGTTCTCACAAACTGCTCTCACTCTCTCTTGATATGTCAGCTACAGGAACAAAACGGTTCAATGCAAACACTAGACCAGTAACTCCTGGTAAGCAATCCTCAGTCAATGGACCATATGGTAAGAATCCGGGATGCACAACAAGCTGTGGTTTGAGGCTACCGAGGAAAACGGAATGCACAGCAGCAAGACTGATCAAACATCTCAGCTGTAAATTCGTTTTGGGCTTACGTCTGGTGGTGATGAGGAAGAAGAAGAAGAAGAAGAGATCTCCACCATTAAAGAAGGCTTCTTCTTCTGGTATATCTCAGCCTTCGGTCATCTCTGTCGTTAATGATAATAATCACAGATCAGACGCAATAGAAGACTGCATACAATTCATAAACTCCTCTTCCTCCTTCACAAGATCAAGTTCTGACAGTGGGCGTAAATCTTAAGTTTTAGTTATGCCTTTAAGTTTCCATAATATGTTTGCTACGCAATAGCATATTAGATAATTGCGTGTAATATCTATATGATATAAATATATATAGAGCTGAATAGTGATTTTGAGTAATCGTGAGAAAGTGTGAGCTTTGATTATGTACAAAAAATCATCTGTGTATATCTTTCATCTACATAGTATTATTCATATGAGTTTGGCCTAAATCAACGAGCAGAAAGATCCTGAAGAATTTTCTGGCAAAAAAGGAATATTCCGGCAAGCTCTCAGACTGCAATGATACGTGTATAATCAGAGTCTGGCGTGAGGTGAAGTTGCACCTGATGAGAGGTCTTGGAGCTGAACTATTCACTGATAATTTACTATTCTCGGAATGGATCAATCGATTATCTTCTCTCCGGTTGAAAATAGATTCCATACGACGGTCCCAACAAGGTAAAGACCTACCGAAATCGTGAAAACGTCATCCCAAGAACCTGAGGCATTTCATTCATTGTTAATTTCATTAGGAGCACACAAACAAATAAAACTTTAGAGTTTTAAAAAGATTAAGCAAAGCATTGTCAAAATCAAGAAGTGAATGAGAGTTCCGACCGTGTTGTAGGATGTGACCAGTCGCGGCTGTGCCAAGAACTCCGGCAAGTACTCCAGCGGTATTAGACAAACCAAGTAACACTCCCTGACCAGACCAACAACATCAATGTGCTAATCCATTTTCTTTTGAGTAGCATGATTCATTAAGACTTGAGAGTAATTGACTAAACTTACAGAGTATCTTGGAGCAATATCTTGATGGTTAGAGTATAGACCAGACTGTGAAAACGCATCAGTACCCTGGCTACAAGCCATGCACAAAACAGCCATTGTTGGAGAATCTATGTGTTTCAGCTGTGTTAGGAAGAACGCTGGTCCAAGAAACCCAATTGTTTGCATTATCTAAATTTCACCATAGGAAAAGGATAAAAGGGTTATCGAATGAATTACTTTTACGAGATCGCATTGAATTGGACTAAAGAAGTGATATACAGGTACCTTGCGGACATTCGTGACAGAGAAGCCTCGGCTGACAAGTGTATCGGCAATCCATCCACCAGCATTTGCAGATATCGCCATTGTCATCCATGGAAATACGGAGAGAAGCCCTGATTCCATTAGGTTGAACTTCAGCACCTGCCTCACAATGTCCATGAGATTAAATAGTCAGAGAAAGTAAAACGTCAAGCCACTTGAATAAAGACAACAATAGAACTGACTTGATGGTAATAAGTTGGCATCCAGGTTAAGAGAATGAATGTTCCCCAGTTGTGACAAAAGTGGCAACTGATGAGAGCCCAAACCGGTGGTTTCGACAATATCAGCCTCCACGGGATCGACTTCACTGGCTCTTTGCTGGCACAGTTGTCTACAATTAGCTTTCTTTCTTCAGGGAGCAATGTTGGATCTTCTAATGGTGAACTCTCTGCCTATAATTAGTAACAAGTAAAAACACACGTCAATGGTAATGAGATATGGGATCTACAAATAGTTAAGAAGAGTTAAGAAGTCTGACCTTAGTCAGCCACAGAGTCAACCATACAGTTCCAAGAGACCCAAAAGAGTAAAACACAGAGGGCCATCCAAATTGATGAATCAAGAAAGGCGAAAAGGCTAAACCGGTGACGGATCCAAGGTACATTCCGCTGTAAACAAGCGCGAGTGATCTGCTTCTCTCTTGCACAGGCACCCACTTCGACAATATATTATTCATAGCAGGCATTGCAACACCCTAGAGACACCAAGGAGATTAACTGCTCCTTATCGACATACACAAATCCTAGATCGACATCTAACATCATAAAAAGTAATCACAATTAACAAACCTCTCCAACTCCCATGAAAGCACGAACAACGAGCAAGTACGGAAGACCGAGTTTAGCAGCTACCGGAGTGAGAATCGTGGCGATAGACCACCAGATAACACCGAATCCAAGAACCCTTTTCCCACCTACAGTGTCTGCCCATATCCCACCAGCTATCTATCATATCAACACAACAAACCACCGATTCAACTACACTTATTGATTCAAATGTGATAGCTAGTGAGAATCATTTGAAAAACATTGATCATCCAAAAATAGAAACTGGAAAGGCAATGGATTCTACATTAAGAACAAAGAAACCCCTAATTAAGGAATCATGGAAAAAGCTTACCTGTGTAAGAAGGTAACCCCAGAAGAAAGAAGACTGAATCAGACCAACAGTTGCTGGATTCCAACCATACTCAGCCGACATCGGAAGTATTGCTATACTCATATTCACCTGTTAAAACATCATCTGTCCCAAATTGATAACTCCAATTCCTAATTGAGCAAATCCCAGTTCCAAAAAAAAACTTTCAATTCTCATAAAAATTCAATCTTTTTTGCTACTTACTCTGTCCATATTGCAGAGAAGAAAAGCTGAGAAACAGAGTAGCACAATCACCCACCGCTTCGGAAACTCTTCCCACCATGGGACGACAATCGAGCTAGGCGAATCAGAAACGACGCCGTTGGTTCTATTTACTCTCTCTCCATCTACGTAATACGAATTACTGCTTTCTCTTTTGTCGGAGCTCCGAACTAATACCCGGAAAACGCCGGACCGATTACGCGGGTAGATCCATACCCGTAACGAATTTGGAGCTGGTTTGAGAGTACGGAGGCTACGAGAGGAAGTGGGTTTTTCAGGTGGACGATTTGAAGTGTAGAGAGAGTGAAGATTTGGAGAGCAAAGAAGAGCTCTCGCGTTCATGGCGGATATAGATATTTTTTATTTCTCCACTTCTTCTTCTTCTTCTTCTCTGTTTTTTCTTTCTTCGATTGATTTTTTTCAAAAGGTCGTGGCTGACGTGATGACATGTGGCGCTTGTGTATTGGCTGGGTGAGGATGTCATAATCTAACGGGAAGTAACGGTTAACAGAATTATTGGAGGTCCATTAAACTAACTAATCGAAGAATTTGAGGTTAACATAAAGCCCATATGAGGCCCAATTAAGCTTCCACACTAAAAACTGCGAGATTGAACTTTGTTCACTTTTCCCAAATAAAATAAAATCTCTTGAATTGTGAAGTAGGCATATCACAACAAAAGAAATGCGATGGTAAATCATTAACAATAATTTATTATCGGTAATAGAATATTTAAGGATATGACCAATGATCTACTTTATGTGGAATAAAGGCAGGATCCAAAGGTGGAACTCAATCTCCCCCACTGATTGCGTTAATAAAGATGCGAAAGAATATTTAATCCAACAGTAGAGAGGAAATTGGCCGAAATAAGTAATAACACTAACGGGCTTAATTTAGAAAAAAATATATATAATGAATTAGTAGTAAACAACTAATTAACATCAATTCTCATGAAATACAAAAATTAAGTGTAAAATATGAAACGGATGGGATATTAGTGATGAAGAATTATAGACAAATGGTAAAATATCTATCAAATTGGTAACAAGTTTATTCTTAGTGGACAATCTTTGATTTTTTTTCCAATTATTTTCAGTCCAATTTTTGTGTAATTTAAATGAAACTAGATTTTATCCCGCGGTACACCGCGGGTCGATTTTTTATAACTAAAAAATTATTTAGCAAAATTTTAAGTTGTATTTGTTTTGTTAATATTGTTTATTTTGTTTAGTGTTTCTGATTTTATAATTAAATTTTGATTTTTAATTCTAAGATTTCATCCAAAGTATATTGTTTAATATTAATATCGATCTAAACCCGTTACACCATATAACCCCGTTCCGTAAAATTAAACATCATTTGTTATTTTTTTTTGAATAATATTTTTATCCACTATGGGTCGCAGGTTCATGCGGATAAGCCCGTAGAGAGTTGCGGGTTTGCGTGTCGACCCGCCAAAAGAGAAGCTATCTTTTGAAACCATTTGTTGTATTTAGAGGTTTTGAGAAAATATCCCTAAAAAATAATTTTCATTATATGAAAAAAAAAGTGGAAGAAATTGTAGTATTAAGTATCAACATTCCTGATTTTTACATCATTCGTTACTATTAATTTTTTTTTTTTGCAGATAAAAATCAGAAGTTAACTAAGTCGAGATTTTTAAAAAGATTGTGTAGAGATTTTTGGTAAATTGTTGAAAACTTATTTGATTTCAAAATCTTTACTTAAGGAAAGATTTTGTAGAGACTTTTGCTAAATATATGAGAAATGAATTTCATTTAAAAATCTTTACTTAAATAAAACAAATCTAAATAATTAATGTTAATGGCATGGCATTGTAAATACTTCTCAACTTCAGGATTTATTTGCTAATTGTGATCCAAAAATGTATATATAGATGTATAAAAGAACAATTGAAGCATATGTTGATCGAATAAAGAATCTAAACTTGCAACAAACTCACAATTAGTAAAAGAATAATTTTCGTATCTTATTATTTATCAATGGAGGTCCAAGAATAGGAGTGAGAATGATGTAAGATTGTGGTGCGGCAGATTTACTCATCGAAGGTGTCCCTTCTTGTTCTTGTCTACCATAAGAATTTCCTAGCTTAGGCTTTTATGACTGCCACTTTTATTTATTTTATTCTTCTTTTTTAAGCCATCATTATTAGGGACTCTCATTATTATCGTGTATGTTAAACTATTTCTTTTTTGCATGCGTTATCCATTTACCAACATCTAACATTTTCTCGTGAAGGTCTTCCAAAGTCTAAACCAGACGTAAAATTTCTGTACCAGTAGTTCAATATTCCTCTTAAAAAAAACAGTTTTTGATTTTCATCAATTAATATAACGACGTAACGAGATCACTAAACTATACGGATCATGCATGTTGTTGATCTATGATCTATCGTCACGTAATCTTATATATATTGTAGGTGTAATTATATATGCCCTAATGATAGTGTCCTGTTACTTATTAGGGCCGTACCAGTCACTAAACAAGAAGGCAAGATTCATTTCTCAAGAGCTAAAACGCAAACTTAGGCCGTAAGACACAACAATGCCCACTTCATGTGGATGGATACAGGAAGAGTTTCCAAAAGTACATACTTCTCTCCCGTGGCCCACTTCTTCAATTATCATTCACCATTTCAATCATTCATCACTAACTTTCCTTTCTCTATTATTTTATTTCTACATTTATTAGCTAAACGACATCTAAGTTATAACCAAATAACCCTTTCTTGATTTGGTTATATAAGAGAAAAAACATAATACGCGTTTTTTAGTTTGAACAATGTGATTTTCTCTACCGACAATATGATGAATATAATTTATCCAACCAAGTGGTAGTAATTAATCTTATGACCTTCTATCGTTATCCTATATATTAGTTGAGCCTACGAATTGATTTTTAATAGGCACATCTTTTTTTAATCAATCCAAATTTTACATGGCATATATAATCTCATAGTGTCAAATTTGACGAGTTTCCATCAAATGTATAGTGATATTCATTGTATTTTCTTTCTTTATAAAGTGTATTTTTAAGAAGAAAAAAAGGTGCCGCAAAGGCACGATTGATTGTGATGACATTTATATTAAGCTAAACGAATCAAACCATTTGAGATAACTTAACACCTCCAACTGCGCCCCTTGATTATTTCGTTTTTCTTTTCCTGAAAGCGAAACCTTAACTTATATTTTTGTCATGTTCTGTCTAAATCACAAAAGCCTAATTAACCTGAATGAAACATTTTTATAAATAAGATATTATTTTGCTATTAGTTATGGTCATATGCATGGATGTGTGCATGGATCTAAGCAAACACATATGCACTGATGAGGCGCAGAGATTAGAAATGAGACATGTGCACGTGTTCCTCTGTCTACGTCCACATCCTAAGCAACAAAAATTTGTGATAAATCAATTATTTATATTAACAAGTTATGTGTTGCCTTGGATTCCTCACAATTTCGAGTTTGGCTTCTGTATTAATGTATAATAACACATTGTATACAATAATATATAACATCGTACAAATAATTGAGAATAGATTCTACAGAAAGAAGAAGAGAAAATGATTCTATTATAGAGAGTTAAATCAATGAGATATCAGTGTGATGAATACCAGTAAACACCCAACATGGGTAGCTAAGCTCCTCTGGTGGTAGAGTTTGGTATTAGCGAAAGTGGTTGTGTCTTGCGACTTTGTTGAAGTTGGGGGAATGATTTATGCCTGTTAAAAGATACCATCACTCGTTAGCAAGGGTCTAAAACCTAGAATTTCCAACTTAACAAAAAAAGTAATATATACAACTAAACTATGCTAAGAGGAGGGAGCTAATGGTTTAGTGACGAACTAAAGTTCCGTCAAAAAAAATTATGTGACCTAAGATCCTCTAGTTCAACACCTTATAGAAGGAACTAATTAACCCGCTCTGATCCCCAATCTAAATAAATGAGTTCCGGCCCCAAAGTTTTGTAGATCTCAAAAAGATAAATAAAGATCATTCGAATTCGTTTTTCCTTCAAAAACAAAATTCGATAAACCTTTGGATAACAAATAAAACTTTCATCCAAAATGGGAGAGAAATCGATAGAATCCTACTAAGATCATCAAGATCAGTGAAGGAAAAAAGACAATGTACACTCACTCATATGCACACACACGAACCAATGCATCGGTAAGATTCGCATAAACATACAAAATAGGAGTAAAACAGTAAACAAACAAAAATAAAATTAAAGTGAGGAGACAAATATTCTAACAAAATAAAAAGACATAAAATAGCGTCACACCTACTCTTTCTTCTTCTACCTTTAGTATCTCCCTCCTGTCTTCATACTCCTTTACACTCCTCTCCTTCATCATTTCTTCTTCTTTACACCTCTCCAATGGTAGAATCTCCCATTCACTAACTTTCTCTCTGCATACCAATTCAAAAGTCTCATCAATGGCGGCTCGAAAACTCGGGTCGTTGTTACGTCAATACTTTTTCTCTCTATGCTTCCTCTTCCTCGGTTGCTTCTTCTTCCCTAAAACCGCAGACCATAAACAAAAGAGGAAGAAGAAGAAACTTAGAACAGTTTCTTCATCTTCTTCTGGTTCAGCTTTATCATCTTCTTGGACGTACTTAAAACGAGTTTTCTTATCCACGACAAGGATATCTAAATCCCGTAACCAAACACATCCTAACGCAACTTTAACATCCGCAAGATCATCTCAAAACTCACTCGTCACTCTCGTCCAACCCGATACATCAAACCAACCCGACCCGGAAACCCATATTCAACAACAAACCGAATTCGAGATCTCGTGTAGCGAGATTTTCCATTGTAACTCGTGTGGCGAGATTTTCCCCAGAATCAATCTCCTCGAAAACCATATCGCGATCAAACACGCCGTGTCGGAGCTAATCGCCGGAGAATCAAGCACGAACATCGTTAAGATCATATTCAAATCTGGTTGGCCGGAGCAAGGTAATCACAAATCTCCGGTGATCAATCGAATCTTAAAAATCCACAACAGTCAAAAGATTCTCACCAGATTCGAAGAGTATCGTGAGTTCGTCAAAGCTAAAGCCGCTCGTAGCAACGGCGGTGGAAGACGGTGGGACGATGAACGTTGCGTCGCCGACGGGAACGAGCTTTTACGATTTTACTGCTCGACGTTTATGTGTGATCTAGGGCAAAACGGTAAATCAAATCTCTGTGGTCATCAATATTGTAGCATATGTGGGATCATCGGATCTGGATTCTCGCCGAAGCTCGACGGAATCGCGACGTTTGCGACGGGATGGAGAGGACACGTGGCGGTACCGGAGGAGGTTGAAGAGGAGTTTGGGTTTATGAATGTGAAACGGGCCATGTTGGTTTGTCGGGTCGTAGCGGGTCGGGTCGGGTGTGATTTGATGGATGGTGATGACGTGGAAAAGAGTGATGGTGGAGGGTATGATTCTCTGGTTGGGCAGAGTGGGAACAAGAGTGGGGCTCTTTTGAGGTTCGACGATGATGAGCTTTTGGTGTTTAATCCAAGGGCTGTGCTTCCTTGTTTTGTTATTGTGTATACTGTGTAACCGGTTTTGTGATCCTGTGTGTTTTTTGTTTATATTTTGTTACAATTGTGAAGTGTGAAACGCTTAGGTTTGTTTGGAAATGTGGTAAAATCTTTGTGGTGAGTTTCCATATGATCTAGGTACATTTTGAGAGGTTATGTGACTAAAGATTGAAAGATAGTTCAACAGTTTATGTTTGTAGTCGATATCGTGGGATGCGATATATGTTTGATTGAAAAGCAATTAGTCTAAAAGTTTCTGTTATAGTCGATTTCGTAGAATCCAATATATGTTGATTGAAAAACATTTAGGCCTTGAATGGTTATCGTTTTTCAAATGGTTATCGTTTTTTTAACCATTCAAGATTTTGAGAAAAGTGGTTTCCCAAAAAAATAGGGAATCTAGATTCTAGGAGTTTTTACTAATTTTTTAACAAAATCCAAAATCTCATTTCAATGGGGTTTTTGAGAATTCCTCTACGAGATCTTTTTTTTTTTAATTTCCATTTGTTTTTCTTTTTATTTTCACATAATCTAAAAACCAAAAACAAAATCTAAAAACTAAAATCTAAAATCTAAAAACCCTCTAAAATCTCAGAAACATTCATGGCCTTAGTTTTTGTTATAGTCGCTTTTGTTGAATCCAATTTATGTTGATTAACAAACATTAGCACAAGACCAAATCATAGAGGATTAACCCACTAAATGATCCTTTTCATTTTCCTTTGTTGAATAATTGATGAAAGGAAGAAAATGGTACAGAACTCTATAAATATATAAAGTTTTAACTAAAGTAAACACTTTTTTTTTGGGCCGGGGGGTCAACTAAAGTAAACACTTTTTTTTTTGACGTCTAGATTTATTATTTATTTAATCGATCTATCGGATTCACAACAAATTTAACTAGTGATTTTTTTTCTTTATCTTGGGGGTTTGTGTTAATTGACCCTCACTTTCTCCATGCTCTTGACGGACACCTTCAATGATCCACGACCTAACGACACTTCTCTCTCTGCGTAGAATCCTGGCGAACGGCTATAATTGTACTTCGTTGGAGATCTCTTGCACACTTGCCTCATTTAATCTGCAAATTTATTAATAAATCGCAATATCTGGGACTCGAACCCCAGACCTCTTGGTGTAGAAGCATTAATTAACCCTTGGTCAACCAATGGGCCAAGGGGGCTTCCACAAAAAGTAAACACTTTAGGATGGTGTTTAGTGCTTTAACCAGGAAATTAATCGATCTATCGGATTCACAACAAATTTAACTAGTGATTTTTTTTCTTTATCTTGGGGGTTTGTGTTAATTGACCCTCACTGTTGGGTCATAACCCTGTTTTATAGACAAACTTCGTGAACACTCTTAGTAGACATGCAAATTCTCGCTTTATAGGCGAAAATTATTTTTTTGATTTCCTTGTTGATATTTCGATTAGAGAAGTAATGTAACTTTTATTGGTTCCCCTATTTTGATATAGAAACTCAAATTACAAAGCTATTATAGAGCGTATTAACTCGTGAGAGTACAATACATAAGAATTCGTGTCATGCATGCGTAATGCGTTTATAGGCCCAAACTGCATTGAACATGATTAAAAGCATAACAATGATTCTGATGTTTTTAAAATTATAAAGGAATTATTGGCTTATTGTAGTGCCATTTCGTAAATCTTCACCCCTTAGAGGCATGAGACGAAACGGTGGCAATTTTGTTTGTTGAATAAGCAAACAAAAGGACATATGGCTCGTGAGCAAGATATAAATCCTTGTAATAGTGCAGTACAACCCCATTCCAGTGAGACCTCTATGACTCAATCTATAAATTGAAAAAGTAATATGCAAAAGCCACCAACACATGTCATTCAATATGAACACTTCTAGGTATCTTATCTCATATACAATATGTAATAAGAAATTTCTTTACAAGTCTAAGAATATGAATGACAAACCAATGAATCGAACAATTGCTCCACCAACTTAACCAGAGGAAAGTACAAAAAAGCCTTGAACGGTATTGAGTGAAAGAGTTGATTACCTGATTAGAATCTCAAAGAGTCAAAACTGCCAGTCGTCTATCACATATTCTCAAAAAAAATTTTTGATGATTTTTGTTTTTTAATTTATTTATAAGAGAACCAAATTAAAGCCCATGAATAAAGAGGAATGCAATAGAATCTCAAGAAATTTGGGCTTTCTAAATTAATTAAAAGCCTATGAATAACTCTTTTTTTTTTTTTTTTTTTTTTGTGCAAAATGATCTCTTCATTAACTTAGAACCTCAAAAGAGGGATGTTCATACAACTTAAAAGTGAAACAATACATGAAAGATAAAGATAGAGACTCAATGAGTTTTCCAAGGAGATGCGCAACTTCAAAAAGCTTGCAATGGTTGGAAGGTCTTTTGATGTCTTGAAGGATTCAAGCTTGAAGACGAGCTTCGAGAAATCCCCGATCAACAAGTGGTCATAAATAGCTCGCGCGAATAACGCATAAGAGCTTTTGTTAAATTGCTCCACGGAGGAGGCTAAGGTTCGAGACGGTTTCAAAATGCCGGTAAAGGTTTGCGGGAATGTTTTATCCATGGTGGAGTAGGTTTGCAAGATTCGCCAAAAGTAATCACAAGACCAAAACACAGATAATATTGTGAGACTAGAACGTAGTCCTTGTCCATTTAAGCCTAAGCAATAAGAATCTGATTTAAGAGAACTTGAGAAATTGTTAGATTGAACATACCGAGGCGGTTTCTCCAAAATGGTTCGAGAGTGTTGAGATGCATCGCCCAATAAACTTGAGGCTAGATAATTAAGCTTGAACTTGGACAGTTTACCATTCGATCTATGATCTCCTAACAGTGGAGAAGCGTGACCAGACTCACGCCATCTATGGATCAAGTGTGGAACTAATCCAAAAAGCTTCTAAGATGAAATTGCATCGGATAGCAACAAAACTTCTAATTCCAACAGGTTTCGTAATTGACAGTGGCAAATCCAGCCTAAAGATGTCACTACTACCCTAACATGGAGTCCTCTACCAATCGTAATCGAGTAGTAAATCTTTAGAACTGAACCTGATGAGATGATGAAGTGCACAGACCTGAGAATTGAATGAGGAGCCTTAAGACAGCTTTGGGAATCGTCGTGCGCCGTCGACGAACTCACCGGACAAAGCGCAACTGACGGTCCAAGAGATTCTCTTGCCATCAACGAAATCCGGTGAGTAGAAACTGTTTGAGACTGTGGTGATGGTCCAGATCTAGAGCTAAAAGGCTCTGATTTTTGCAAAGAGGCGCAGAAGGGTTGAAAAGAAACTTCTCCCGATTTGAACCTCTGCGATGAGAAAACCGAAGAAGCAAACTCGCCGAGAAGATCCACCGGAAAAGAAGGGAGGGGAAAGAGAGGCTGAAGCTGAAGCATGACGAAAACAGAGATTGGAGATCTCGACGAAACTTTGATAGAACTGAAAACCAAAGAAAGCAAGCTCAAAAGACAGAGGAGACGACGAAGAGAAGAAGCATAAGATCCAGAGACGTTGACCGGAGCCGACGCCGCCGGAAAACAGGTTCTCGGAGATTGTGCCAGAGAGCAAACGGCTAGGGCGAACTCACTTTCTTATGAATAACTCTAAGAAACATGAATCATCTAGTTTAGGTTTTTTCAAATAGATTCAATGTGGCAGCACATAATTGGTCTAAAATAAAGAAAAACTGGTTATGTAGATATTTCCATCCCTTTATTGGTGTTTCTTTATAGTTGAACATCTACCGGAAAATGCTCCCACAAACACACCCCATGTTGACATCCCTACTATAAGCTATTATCCCAAGTAGTTTAAACCACAATCATGTTATACTACTTACAAGTCACAACATCAATATACATAAGATAGTCATGAGTTTTAGACTACCAAAAATGCGAAAAAATAATAGACCTTTTTGCACATTTTTTTGAGTTTATTTTTTGAATTTACAAATAAATATGAATAATTATTTCAAACCCTTAATTTGTTTTTCTTTCATTTTCTTAATTTTTGTTTGTTTTATTTTTATTTTGTATAGTAAGTTTTTATTATTATTTTATTACAAAGCAGAAAAGGCATTTTAATGTCTTGATATTTTTTTAAGAAAAATAAAAACTCCACATATATGGTTTTCCAGCTTGTCACAATGGTCGGTCTCCGATGGATGGAATATATACAAAAGATAGAGAAGTGATTTAATCAATTCTTAATTCAAGCATGGACATGAAATTGATGAAGTCACTAATATGCGTGTTGGTTTAGTGATCTCATCAATTTCTTATTTCAAACATGGACACAGATGAATAAAATAATTTTGATTGTTTTTTGTGCAATTTTTATATATTTAAACTCGACTTCTTGATCATTTGATTGCTGCAAAATTTTCATTTGAAAAGTTTGTCAAACATCAACTGTGAATTAGATCCACAAAAACCAACCTATATATGTAGAAGATAGAGAAATAAATTCTTTTTTTTTTTTTTTTTTTTTTTTAAAAAAAAAACGAGATAGAGAAATAAATTCATTTACAAAATTTTGTAAATAACATCACAAGAGTTGAATCGAAAAGCAAGATCAATTTAGTAAAATATAAGTAAGAGGAAAAGGCTAAGAAACTCGTAATACTAATTAAATGTTGTTCACGTCTTAAGGAATATCATCAACTGTCAAACTGCATCATCAATATGGAAAATCTTAGTACATGCATATATTAATCTATTTCCTAATTGTATGTATTTGAAACTGAGGTTTAATAAGTTTAGAACGTTTGAGAAGATCGTTAGCAGAACAAAGGTTTGGAAAAGAAAAGATTTTCGTTCTAATAATTGCTGGTGACAAAGGATATGCAGATATTCTAACAGACTTAAGATCAAAAGATATGGTTATTGGGTTAATTTACTATATAGGCTCACAATCAGCAGCATTAATAAAACTACCTAAATTTGCTCTCCCATGGTCTGGGATAACTCCTATAGGTCGGTAATTGTACCAGAATGGTAAATTAGATTTGAAAAAGTTTGTTCTTCAACCTTATGCTCCCAGAAAACATTTAACTTATCCTTAAAAGGTACAGACTTTCATCCAAAGAAGAGCGATTATGTTGGTGGTGGGAATCAAGGTGGTGGAGTTGTACTCCGTCGTTCCGAAAGAATTCTAGTACCAAGTCTTAAGAGTTTTGAGAGT